TTTTTTTTTTTTTTTTGGTGGAACCGGGGATTGAACTCCAGCCCTTGAGCTTGCCAGGCAAGCACTTATTCCACTGAGCCGTCTCCCTGGCCCCGGGAGCTCTAATTTATGAGTTTCAAGAACTGTATATTTCTTCACACCATTATTTAATTTTGTATTATATGACATGAGGCAGTTTGTAATAGTTTATTGAAACTCATGCACTTGTCCAAATCTAAATCTTTGTGTTCAACTTGCTTATTTTCTCATTAACTCCAAAAAGTAGGTTTGCTATGTTAAGTGCTAAAAATGTTAGTGATTAAAATAAGTTGTATTTTTTAAAGCTCTTTTTGAAAATCCATACATAACCTAAAAAAATATGTTTGGGTACAGAATTTGGACTTAAATACATTATTATGGTTTATACCAGTTAGCCATACTCCATCCTATGTAAGTACAGGGTTTTCAAAACACTTCTCTTGAATCGCTGTGCATTTCTCTGCCATACATGATCACATTTCAGGTCATGCCCTTTTCCTAATTCCGAACTAAGACATTTTATAACGACACAGTACCTTGCCTGGGTTATTTAACCATGCTCCTGCTATTGGGTGTTTAGATTGTTTTTAATGATTATATTGGCCTGTACTGAACTTTGGTATTAAAATTATATTTATCTTCAATATAAGGATTTTGCCATGATAATCATCTAGGAACGTGCTAAAAGTCAATGTACATGGAAATGAAATCCTCATTAATATAATAAATTTACAGTTACCTCTTTAGATTTAATTTAGCAGAATATGCTTGGAGGAAAAATAATAGCTCATAAACATTGACACAATGAAGAGGTCTTCAGATATTACAACACTCGTCTTAACAAACTTTGAGTTGTCACTTAAATTTTTTTTTAATAACTGAAGGTAATTAATTTGCTCAATCTGCCTTTATTATGACAGTATCATGGGCTAGATACCTTAACAACTGGAAGTAATTTCTCTTCGGGAGGCTAGAACTGTGTTATCAAAGTGGTGGTCAGATTAGTTTCTTCAGAGGACTCTTACTTTGCCTTATTAGGAATCTTTTTCTTTTGTCCTCATGTGGTCTTTCTTCTGTACATAAGTCTGTGCTGAATTTCTCCTCTTTGTATAGAAGGTCTTTTTATGGGGGCCATGACGTCCTAGGGTAAGGGCATGGTTGATCATAGTGGGGAAGTTATTTTAGGAAGTTAGAGTGATTATTTGTTGTTGTTTTTTGTTTTGTTTTGAGACAGGATCTCACTATGCACAGCTAGCCTTCAACTCACCATGTAGGCTGTCCAGTACCAAATCAGGTCTGAGCTGATGAAAAAATCCAAAATGTACACCTAAGTACTATTTGCTATTGAATAAAATTAATACCTGAAAAAAAGAAGTGAGACAATAGCTACAAGTTTCTAAACAGTAATGAAAGTCATGACTTGAATAGATCCATTTTACCCAAAATGAGGCCCAGGGATCGCATCCCCGGCCCCTGTGCCTGCTTGCAGGCGCTTTAATCCACTGAGCTATTTAGGTGGCCCAAAAGAAGACATTCTTTAAAAGTCTGTTCAAATATCTAAATATTTTAGGAAATAAAGCCAAATCTCTAAATTCCAGGCGCTTCAATGGAGAAAAAAGGCAAGAATGAAAAAGAATGTTAGTTACTATAGTTTCTTTAGATGCATATTATTAGAGAAAATTGAAATTCATTCCTTATAGTTTGCTTTTTGCAGGTTTATATGTACCTTTTACTTTGATAGTTTATTTTTCTTCACATAGGATGTAATGGAGGTTTATGATGCCACAAATAGTTGGGACTATGGAGTAGGAGTTCTATAAGGTCTTTTATTATATGATTGTTAAGGTTTTTTCAGACAGCCCCTGTCCCATGATAAGTAGTTTCAGATTTTTGTCTTGGCTGTTTTTGGATAATCAGTGCACATTTTTATGCTAGCTATCTGGTAAACTGAGGGAAGAAGGTTAAGTTGCTACACACAGGAAGCATCATAGCTAGGAAGCTGAATGTGAAATGTTCCAGGATTTTGAAAGCTACAGAGAGCCGGTGAAGGTCAGACTGAATTAATTGCCCCATTTTGAATAAGAACCTGACCACTGATAACATTTTGAATTACATAAAATTACAGATTTATAAATTATAGTAGTATATGTTTATAAAATGATTTGCTTTATAATAAAGTATAGAATAATTAATGCAAATGAATTAACGTATTTGCCACATCAGATTGATTTTTTTTTTTTTTGTGGTGAGAACATTTGAAATTTACACGCTTAGTGATTTTTAAATGTAAAATGTATTATTTACTATATCTTCTATGCTGTTATCTTTGCGTTCTCATTGTCTGTTAATACTTAATATGAGAACATTGGGATAGAATTTGAGGAAAAATGAGAATAGAAACTAGATTTCCTAGTAATGGGAAGTATTTTTGCTTTGTATAATAATGAAGAAATAACCAATCTTGTTACAGTGCTTAGCTGTGTATATGCCATATATATCTGCATGCTTTTCATTAGAACCTTTGAACTGTCCCTTTAGCTTGAAGCCCTTGCTCTTCATTGCAATGAAACAACTGAGGCTTAAAGAAATTTTAAGTAACTTACTCAAAGTAGAGTTAGTGAGTAGCATAGCTGGAATTTGAAATTGCCTGACACGCAGATATTGTGCTTCAACCACAAGGATGCTCTGTGGGACTTTGACTAAAGGGCATGTTTAGTTCATTGCTGCAGTTATTATTTAGGTATATGTTCTCTAAAGTTTGTGTTCTTAAAATGTAGCTTTGATTTATAAAGTACATTCTTTGTAGCAAAGCTGTTAAATTAAGATATTTCTTTTTCTAGTGGAGAAAGTAAAAGAACAATTAAAACTTTCTTTGGAAAATAAGAATGGCATAGTGCAAACTGGTGAATTGACTGTTGTACTTGATGGATTAGTGATTGAGCAAGAAAATCTTCCAGCCTGCACCTCATCTCCAACCAGTAAGCTACGTTATGTATTTTTAATGTTTAAGAGAAAAATCAACAGGAAGTATACAAAAATGTAGCTTCTTTCTTATTTTTTAGTAGAAATACAGCAAAATGGTGATGCCTTACATGAAAATGGAGAGCCGTCAGCCCGAACAACTACCAGGTAGAATATTTAATTTTAGTATTTGTGGCAGCATGATGTCACAAATAGCAGTTCCCATGCACGAAACTTCAAATCGTCATATGATTTGTAGTCAATATTTGCAGGTGTTTTCAGCTTTTTGTAGCACTCAATAAAATTATGTTTAAAATTATTTTTTTAAGTTTCATAGAATGTCATGAGTTTTTGGCAGTTGTTTTTAGAATATTTAAAATGGGTTTAAATAAACTGTACAATTTGAATATTACTTTGAGGGACTGAATTGATTAGGATTCAGTATATTTATATATCAGCAGTATTTTTTTATTTATTTATTTTTGTCTGCCGGTATAGGTACACTTTAGAACTGAGAATAGTAAGTAGTTTAAACATTAGTGTAATAGAAGCAGGCATATCTTTATACCCATCTCTTTACTTGAATAGTAAGAAGTCAGGAAATATTTATAAAAACATAGATGAAAAGTTGTTTAACTGTACTTAACTCATTGAAGTAAGACAATTTTCTTTTTAAAGGTTGGCTATTGAAGGTACTAATGGAGTGGATGACCGTGCACCTACAAACGCTATAGTCCAAAACGCATGCCATTTGTATATAGTTAACGGAGACAGTGCACCGTCGCCTCCATCTCAGGTTGCTGCCAGACCCCCAAACACACCAGCTGCAAAATCACTCTCCTCTGAGCCTACCAGTGATACTGGTAAGCATGGCTAGTTGTGAAACACTGTCTAACTGAAAACTAATTTAAATTTTCTGTGTGTGCCTGTACACCTTTTGTGCCATCTTCTATGATAAGAATTGTAAAATTACAACAGCTAATTTTTTCTGAATTTGAAGTTTTCTAGATTATATACTTATGAAGATATTCTGAAAACATAGTGGCTTACTGATCTCAATGATTTTCACTTAGCAAGTGTTATATAATAGGTAAATTCTTTGATTTTTATGCCTCAGAATACTATTTAATTCATGAAATGAAATGGTTTCTAAAAGAACCTTAATGAATTCATTGGTTTGTTAGAGTTAGCAATAAATGATTCTGTCTCTTTGTATACAAACCGGGGAGAAAAATGAATGTTGATTTGATACAGGTATCAGAAAGTTTTATTTCTGAATAGTAAGAATTAGTCTCTAATAGAGGATATGCATACGTATGATTTCTGTTATAATCCTCTTTGGACCTGTTTGAAAATACACCATAATATGAACAAGACAATATCTTCCATAATTTCAAGAGAAAAATGCAATAGAGTTTTGTAGAACTCTGCTTTATATTGACTGTTCTCTAGTACAGAATGATATAAAACATCAGAGTGCAAATCAATTAAACATTAATCTGTTGATAGCTGTTGGGAAGGACTCACGGGTGCTGGCCACAACCAAAGACACACAATGTAAGCAAAGTGAGGGCTCGAGCAGAAAGGCTGCCGCTCACCTTTGGTTTTTATTTTTATATATCTTGATTCTCAGCCTTTGGATTACTTTAGGTGAACATCACAAGATCCCATCGTATGTGTCCAAGATTAATGTTTAGGCTATACTATATGGGAGAACCTGCTAGACATCTGGGAGCAAGGACACAAAAACAGGGTGTCCTTGAGTATCAAGTGTTCTTAGTTACTCCCACAGCTGTTGCTGCCCTGTTTTCTTTTTCCTTGTCCCACATGCCCTGCAGGTTATTTAGCACATCTCTATATTAACTCTTTCTTAGCCCAAGAGATAGCCAAAAATATGTACCTGAGCAATAGAGTTCTTCTTAGTGAGACCTCAATCCATTACTTTTTAGGAGATTTTTAAGTTATCAGATAGTAGTCCATGCTAAAAGAAAAAAAAGGGGGGAAGGGAAGCTAATTATCCATCTATTTAAAAATGGTCATTTTAAATAGTGTAACTTCTTTATGAAGTCTTCAAAGAAATTGTGAATGTAACACAATGAAAAACATCAGAATTTGTTCATCCTGATATGACCCAATTAGTTGGTTTACTGTATGGGATTAATTGGGATTATTTTTGGGTTCAGAATGGTTAAACCATTCCATTCTTAAGTCCATTTCTAATTCATGAAAAAGATGAGGTGAAAATATTGAATCCTAGGGGCCAGGGAGATAGCTCAGTTGAATAAGTGCTTGCCTGGCAAGTGCCAGGACCTGAGTTCAATCCCCAGTTCCGGCAAGAAAAAAAAAAGTAATAGTTTTGTTAAAGGGACTGGAGAGATGGCTCAGTGGAATAAGCGCTTTCCTGGCAAGCTCAAGGGCCTGAGTTCAATCCCCGGTTCTGCAAAAAAGAAAAGAAAAGAAAATATTGAATTCTCATTTTAAAAAGTCTTTCACAACCTTTCTGTTTTTCTTGTCATCTCCCTCAGCTTACAGTATATAAATTTAAGGGTTTGTAGCTCTTATTCCTAAGATATTTGACCCTTGTTTTACTGTCTGATTATATTGGATATTGATGTAAAAAGAATTAACTGAGACTTTCCTCACTGTAGAACCTCTTTTATTTGTATTCTGTAGTATGCCACTTTATAGAGGCTTTCCTTTGAGAAGAAATTATACTTTATATATTCCTTCCTCAGTTATTTTTGCCTGAAATTTCAAAGTAAAAATAAAGTACACATAGAAGAACCCAGAAATAAAAATTCTGTCATAAAGAATTCCCATAGCGTTCATAATATAAGGAACACCTATGACAGAATAATGCTATTAATAGTTTCTGCCTTTGTTGTACATGTTCCCAGTACTGCATCCATTAACGATTTTAATTCTTACAGTGACTCTTTGCAATAGGTACCAGCATTTTTCCCTTTTTTCTTATGAGGGAACAGAAGCCCAGAAAAGTCACACAGCAGGAAGTAGCAGAGCTGTAACAAAGTCCAGTTTTGTGGCTGTCCACTTTGCATTGTTCTCTTGTTCATTTTGATGTATGTAGTTTGTATAATGTTTCAAAAGGGTAATGCTAGTTTTTTATACTGTTAATTGGCTCCAAGTGGTACTTCCCTTACTACCTTTTCATCTCCTTTCACTGTTGGAGTCATCTGACAAAACAATCCAACAGTCATCATTCCGCTGCCTGGTTTACAGGGCTTCCGGAACCTACTGTGTTAGTAGCAACCACTGACCTGATGTCTTTTTGTATGATTGCCCACCCCTTACTAGGAGGATGAATTCAGGTATCTTCTTAAGGAATGAACAGTCCTTGTGTGTGTAAAATGATAGTACAAAATGATACTCCTTTTTATAATTAAAATCAGTTTTTGTTGTTGGAGCTGTGGAGCCAAGACGAGGGGAGGACATACTCTGTGCATAAAATATAATTTCTTTTATGTCCTGTCTGCTGCTGTGATTAAGTTTGATTTACCCTCAAAGGTTTGTGAGTTGGAAGCTTGATCTTTAGTGTGGCAGTGAGAGATGGCAGGACCTTTAAGTGAAGGGATCTAATAAAAGGTTCTCAGTTCATTAGGGCATGGCTTTAGGACAAGTAGGGTAGCTCTGCGGTCTCAAGAGAGTGAGCTGTTTCCAGGTGTGAGCCTGACTTCTGAGTTGCTCCCAGCTTCCTGTCTCAAAATTGGATGTCTCCTGGACTTGGAGCAGACCTTTCACCCCAGCACTAAGGCTGAAGCAGGAAGATTTCCATAAGTTTAAGGCCAGTGAAACCCTGTCCCAAAAAATACCCAAACAAAACAAGAAACCTGATCTGTTGTTCCATGAGACTCTTAGCACAGCTAGCTGATGACCCGTGCTGCTGAATCTCCCAAAGTGGGCTAAGTAAATGTCTTGGCTTTATAAAGTTCCCTAACATTCAGTATTTTGTTATAGTAGTGGAGAAATTGCTGGTTTTTTGTAAACTCATTTGATAGCAAAATGACTAAAACTGACATGAAGCTATATATAGTTTTTAATTTATTCTTATTATGCATATCCCTGCATTTTATATAGAAACCTGGTACTTTAAGGAGACATGGTCCGTTAAGGAGAAAAAAAAGTTAAAGGATATGTATGGTCAGGGTTTTGTGATACGATCTTATATTTGTGGAGGAAGAGATGAGACACTTGGTATAAGCTTCTGTTATCATACCTATCACATAATTTTTTTTAATTATTTGATTACATAAGAGTCTCCAGAGTCCTTCATGATCCATGTGCTTAATTTCCCTGTTCTTTCTCCTTTTTCTTTCTTTTCCTTCCATCTCTTTCCTATGTGTGTGTGTGTGAAGAGAGAGAGACACACACAGACAGACAGAGACAGAGAGACAGAGAGACAGACACAGATCACTGTTGTATCCATTTGTCCACAGATACTTACCGTGTGTAAACATTGCACGCTGGACGCTGCCAGGAGTCTTGGTACATGCATTATCAGTTTTTCAACCTCAGCACTGTGGACATTTGGGGCCGTGCTTTGTCTCAGGTGACTTGTTCTGTGCGTTGTGCAATGTTCAGGGTTATTCCAGGCCAGGAGGTGCCAGAAACATCTCCCTTCTTGCTAGCTTTCCCAATTTGAGGACCACTGATAGAGATGAACAGTAAACCCTGCAATTAAAAGAACACGTGTAGCATCTTGACAAAATTCTGGCAATAATGGATAATAAGTTGTTGAATGATTAAGGGAAATATTTGGTCTCAAGCTAGTTTTTTTTTTTTTTTTTTTCTTCGATAGTTAAGACTGTATTTTAGAACAGTTTTAGCTCTACTGAAAAATTTGGCAGATAGTATAGTTCTCATGTTTCTCTTAACCCCATTTCGGAATTTCCCATTGTCAATATTTTGCATTACTCTGATACAATTAATGTTAGTGATAAATTATTGTCTAATTTTCAGTAGGTCTGTCTTCTTGTATTGCACTGTTTCTTTGTGTTTTGAGAAATGTCTGTTACCATGTACGTAACATAGTACCATCCATACTGGTAGTGCCACTGGTCCAGAATTCCCATGGTTCTTCTGCTCATTTCTTCTCCTGAGGCCTTAGGAACCACTGATCTTTTTACTGTCTCCGCAGTTTTGCCATTTTCAAAATGTTATATAGTTGGAATCACAACACAGTATGTAGTCTCTTTCAGTTTGACTCTTTCGCTTATCAGTGTGCATTTAGGATTCCTCCATGTCTTATGGGTTGATGTTCATTTTTATCACTAAATGAAATCCCACTGTATGGATGTGCTGTATAATGTGTTCATCCACTCACTTGCTGAAGCATCTTGGCTGCTTCACTTTGGAGCAGTTGAGAATTACAGCGCTGTACACATTAGTGCGCAAACTTTTGTGTGGACATGAGTTTTCACCTCTTGAGGACTGAGGAATAAGATGCTGGAATGTATGAGCGTGTTAGTTTCATAAAAAAACTTTCTAGATTGTCTTCGGAGGTGGCAGTGTTGTTGCCATATTCCCCCCAGTAAGAAATGCAAGATTCTGTTGCTCAGTACTCTTACCAACATTTGTATTCTGAAGAAAGTGAAATTACTTTTATTTTCTAACAATGTAAATATCTTTTCTATATTGTTTTATGTCTTTATTCATTGTCTCAGTTTTTTTTTTTTTTAATTTTTCTTCAGCTAGATCTTGAACGTAAAATGTTTTAGTTCAATTAATTGGTCCTAATGGTTTTAGAGTTTTTTTTTTATTATTATTATAAATCAGTAATCTCATTCACAGAGTTTTCTTCACAGCACCCCCACCACCCTCTGGCCTGGAGAATTCTAAGGTCATTTATTACTACTCTTTAAGTCCTTTGGTTACTTCTTTAGCATGTTCAGTTGCATTTGAGGTGTGTTTTCATTATCATTAATGTCCCTCAATTTGTAATTTCATTTTGGTATCCTCTTCAGTTCATTAATTTTACTTAGTTTTGTCCTCTAAGCTAGGCTAACTGCATTTTTCTGTTAAATACTAGAGCTTGTGGCCTTTGGAATGAACTGTATCCCCAGCGCTTTTTCTTTTTAAATCTATTTACTTATATATTTTTTGAGATAGACTCTCATAAAGTTTCTAAATGGGCTCAAACTTTCAATGTGCCTGCCTCAGAGTCCTAGAGTGCTAGGATTACAGGCAAATTATCATTTCATAAACATAGGAGAACCAATATTCAGACCTATAAAATGTGAAGAATGCTGGTATTTGGATTACAGCATTGTATTGTGAGGATTACATAAGATAACGTGAACAGTATAGAGTATGTTGCCTGACTTAACAAATATTTCAGTAAGATATATTTTATTTATCTTTTAGTTGTGTTGAATAATAGTAGGAATATTTTGGTTTTGGTACATGTCAGCTTCTCTGAAAATATAATGTTTGGGTGTGGTTAGGAAAACAACAGTAAACAAATTTGGCCAAACTATTAAACTCCAACCTTAATGAAAAACAAGCAAATGATTTCAAAGAAAAAGAAACATAATCCTGAGTAAGAAGAGGTCAGGACATGTATGACATTCCATAAGAAACCCAGTGACTGCCTTTCCGAGTATGTGATGAGAGTGAACTGGAAACGGTGAAAAGGGCGAGTCATGAAATATTTGGAGACATAGGAACAAGAAGTACACATTCCTGAAGTGGGAAGTCAAGGAACAGAGAGACAGCCTCATGGGAAGTCAGATGTAGTCGTGAACTGGCCTGTGTAGAATCTCTGTTGTGGGCTGTGTTAAAAACATTAGTATATGTTCCATTTGCCATAGGACACCATTCAGATGATTAATCAGGGAAGAGAAAAGATCTAGCTTAAAGGATTGCTTCAGCCGCTGTTGGAAGGATAGATTGAGTTAAACAAGAGCGGAGCTAGGGAGCCAAGGAGGAAGCTGTCGCAATAAGTGCAAGCAAGATAGAGAAGAGGAAGATATAGTGAAAGACGGGCAAGGGAATTGCTGAGAGCGTCTGCTGTTAAATTCCATAGTACACTTGAGAAGTTTTGCCTTGACTTACTGGTAAAATTTTATTTTCTTTTTGTGTTTCAAACAGTTTGCATTTCATGTGCTGTGTTTTAGTACACACAGAAGTTTGAAACCATTGCTTCCTGGACTGGGTACATCTTCCCTGATTACTCTTTGCTTCATGTTTTGTTGTTGTTTTGCCTTGGAACTACTATTGATGATGCTTTTGTGGTAATTAATTTCACATCATGAAGGAATGAAAATTAAATGAAATAGTGTTTATAAACGAGTATCATAAAGAAATGAGAATTTAGTCTGCATAGTCTCTTTTTCCATGATATCTCAGTGTTGGGTATGGAGTAGTTCTGTACATTTTTGGTTGATTTTTATAACCCTCCAATCATTCTCTCCTTCATGTTTGGTACAGTGCTTGATTTTTTCTGTTGCTTTTTCACATACCATTTGATTCCTTGGATAGTATACCCTTCTCTCTCATTTTACCATTTAAATCTTATTTCATTTTAAAAATCACCTAAAGATTCCCTTAGTCTAATTCTACCTTTATTGTTTCCATTAGAACTTTGATAGGTAATCTCTATAGGTTTTATTCAGTAATCTATTCTTGCACTTAACAATTTAACTCATTCTTTCATTTTTGTAGTGGCATATAGGTGAAACACATCAGTTATACTTAACATGAAAATTAAGAAAACTGTCTCTGAGTATTACTAATGGGTTATTTCTTCAGAAAGTATAGAACAGGTTTCTAGTTCTTTTTGTGGTACGTTGTAGCACAGTGTTAAGGATTAATGCCATTGTGTATTTGGTACTAGATAAACTTTAAAAAAATATTAATTATATATAAAAAGGGACATTGAAAGGAATGATTTTAAAGTTTAATTCATATAAATGTTTTCTCAAGAATTGAAGGAATGCATTTGTTATATAAATGCTGGCCATTTTACTGCAGTTAAGATGGTGTGTGTGTGTGTGTGTGTGTGTGTGTATGTGTATAAAATGAAAATATATGTGTGTGTGTATATGTCCTAAAAGCATGTTAGATGTTATAAATGTATAATAATTATCTAAATAAGTGACTTTTCATATAATTATAATATTAATTATATAAATAACATTCTATAATTTTGCCATTTATGTGTTTAGCCCTAAAATGTGAGCTGTAAGGAATATAATTTCTGTCCTCTTTATGTTCATCATTACTTGCACCTTGTTCAGCCCCAATTAGTCTCTGAAGAAGAGTATTGATTGGGTAATTGGGCAGTTTGTTGTTACTTTTTGGATCTTATTAATTTTTCTTTTCAGTTAATGGAGAATCATCCTCATCTGCACCAACTGATCATACTTCTACCATGGATGTTCCTGTAGCGTCTGAAGAAACCTCTTTAACTTCAAATTGCACTAGTGCTGCCATAGAAGATCCTCCCCTTCAAGAGATAGCAGCTTCCTCAGAACACAGTGAATGTATCCCTTCATCCAGTGCAGAACTAGAATCTGAAGCTAGGAGAACAGACCCTGACTCATCTAATTCTGGAAGTAGTTCTGCTTTTGACAAATTAAGGCAGTCTGATGGGTGTGTGGAACCTGGACGACAGCAGTCTGCAAATACCAACGCAGAATCTTTGCCATCGGGGTATGTGAAAGATTCTATTTGAATGTTGACTTCTGTTTAAGTAGCACCTTTTTGATGGTACATGACTATGGAATATGCATATAAAGTATTTTTGTTATTGAGAATTTTGAAATTAAATTGGAATACAATTCATATTGTTTGTTCATTCCAATGCAAGTACTTTGTAGAACTGAAAGCAATTGCTCATCTATTTGAAATACATATAATATAAAGGGAAAAGAAAAAGCTGATCTGTTAATTTATGAGATCCTTTTGATTTGATTTTTACTTTTTGGCAAAAGTAACCATGAGGGCCTGCAAGATAGCTCAGTGGACTAAGTGCCTGCTTAGGCAAGTGCAGGGACCAGGGTTTGATCCCCATCACCACATGCCATGCCAGCCCTGCCCTTGGGTGTGTTGAGCCATGACTGAGACCAAGCCGTCTGGGTGTGGTGACGCATGCCTGCAATCCCAGCGCTGGGGAGGCTGAAAACAGGAGGATCACTGTAAGTCCGAGCTGTGTAGTGAGACCCTGTACCAAATACATACAAAAAAAATAAAAAGTAACCGGGATACTGTGTGTGATACCCAGAGTTCCCTCGCTTCTTGTGTGGTCTGCTTACAGACCTGACACTTGAGAACAGCTAGCCAGTCTTTGCTCACTTAATACTGAGTGCTGAGCATAATAATTGAAGCCTGAAATTGTCTCTAGTCCAAATGTAGGTTTTTATTGCTGCTTAGGTTTTCTTAGTCTCTTTTAAGTTTCCCTCCGATATTATTTAGCTCCTTGTGATCTTCTTTTGTTGTTGTTTGTTTGTTTTAATGTATTTGATTGTTATAGGGTCTCACTACACAGCCCAAACTCATACTGATCATCCTGATTTCGGCCTCCGCACTGCTGGGATTATAGCCTTAGGCCACTGTGCCTGGACTCTGCGGCTGGCTCAGCCCGCCCTGGGGTTGGGGCTGATGTGGCATGTGGTGGTGGGTACCAACCCATGGTCCCTGCCTTTGCCTAAGCTTGCCTAAACAGGCGCTTTATCTGCTGTGCTATCTCGCTGGCCCTTGATCTTCTTAATAGAGCATTCTGTATATGAATCCCACTTGGTCATTTCTTCCATATTGACTTACCTTTTTTTTGACTTTGCTTTTTATATACTGATATTACTTGCTTCTTAGGTGCTTATACTGATGCACTGATATTTCTGCTAATCATTGTCCATTGTTTCTACCTTCAAGAAACTTACGTATAAGTTTAGACTTGAAAACATCTGTATTCAGTATAGTTTGAAAGTGCTGTCATAAAAAGTGTAGCGAAGGGTTTCTTTCTTTCTATTTTTTTCATACTAGGAATCAAACTCAGAACCTTGCCCTTCTGTTATAGTTTATGTCTGGTTGTCGTCCCCCCCCCCCAAGGCCTCATGCAGGTATGGGGCAGACTTCTAGAGTTTGTGATTAGTTCATGATACAGTGCTGGGATTATAGGTGTAAGTGCTGTCCCTGGTCTGGGGCTGATAGCCTGAATGCAGCATAAGGGACGGACTTGCTCTCTGTAGCCCTTATTGCCTCTGCTCCTCCCCTTTGCTCTTGCTGTTTTCTGTCTTCTGCTGCCATGAACTGCTGCCCTCTCCCAAGTACCAGTCTGCCTTGGAGCCAGCTGAGTGTGGACTGAAGCCTCCACTAACAGTGAGCTAAATAAACCTTTCCATCCTCAATTTGGGGTGTTGGGTATTTGGTCCCAGCAACGAGAGAAAAGTAACTGAGACACTTTCTTGCCAAGTAGGTGCTAGGGCCACAGAGCTATATCCCCAGCCCCCCAAAGTACTTTCAGTATACCTTGCAGTAAGAATATCCAACTGTCAGGCATTATGTTGTAAGGATAGTCAACAACTTGCAGTTGTTGAAACGTTTGAGATCTCTCTAATTAGTCTCTAATTGCCTTCATTTTCTTGTATTCATATTTCATTCTTATTTTTGGAATGTTTTTTCTCAGTGCACATTGCTGGTTCATCTGGTATTATCCACCTCTTTTTTATCATTTCATCCTTTGGCTTTTTTCTCTATGTGCTTACCTGGGTAAATCTTGTGTTCTGTGTCTCTTCAGCAGTTAAGTGTGTATATTGTATATCTAGGCCAGACCTTTCTCTGAGCTTACCTGCAGCTTGTTGTGGAGATTCCGCTCTTCTGTTTTCACTGGATACTTCAGACCGTGTGTTATTTTCCACTTTCCCCTGTGAAATCTTTTGTCCCGTGTTTCCTGTGTTTTGGTAATTTATCCCTGGTCTTTCTTGTGCCACTTACTGTGATGCAAACATGAAGGAAGCAGTTTTTCCTGTCAGGAACTGCATTGTCTAATGAGGGGTAAACAGCCAGTGACTTAAGTCAAAGTTGTGCCAGACTGTGTTTAGGATGCTGTAGGGAAGGAATGTGCAGAGGGTAGAGAAGGGAACAATTTATGCTGCTGTGGTCAAAGAATAACACTAAAGTTAGTTCCTGGAAGAAGAATAGAAGTTAGCAAAGCAGTAATGAAGGCTCTTCTTTCTCACAAGAGTCAACTGCATATCAACATCTCTAATATCTGTAAAATGAGTAGACTAAACTCAGGAGTTAGTATTTTGTTATAGTTTTAAGTTTGGCATTTTTAAGGGCTGGGGAGATTGCTCAGCAGCATAAGCATCTGTGTGGCAAGCGCAAAGTCCTGAGTTTCATCCTCTACCAAAAACCAAAATACAAAAATAAATAAAATCAGCATTTTTCAGAAGCAAAGCATATAATGCTGAAGAATAAACGGTCCTGTGAAGAGTTTTATAGTCTGCCGAAGTTTTAGGAGTTTTTCCTGGAAATAATGAATAAACACTAAGGAATTTTAAAGCCAGCTGTGGTGTGCCCACCAGTAATCACAGTGTTCTGGGAAGCTGAGGCTGGAGGATTGCAACTCCAAGCCCAGTGTGGACAATTACAATGAGATCTGACCTCTAAATAAGAAAGGGTTGGGGGTACGGCTCAGTGTGAAGGCCCTGGCTTTAAGACACTGTTTTTCTAAAAAAAGGCATAATCATATTTTTAGTTTATAAAGATCATATTTATAGTGACAGTGGGACACATTAAGAATTAAGGCGTTAAGGAGCCAGGTTATTTTATTATGCAAGAAATAAGTATTCTGGTTTAAAATATTAAATATGTAAGCTTAATTCCTTGGGGCCAAATAAATGCTTCCCCGTGCCTATTGCCACTGTTTGCGATCTTTGTACTGGGAACATTTGCAGTAACATAAATGAGTTTTTTTAGGTCATATGTTGTAGTCTACTGCTGGATTATGATCAACATCTAAGCACAAAGGATCAATGAATCAAAGATTAATAAACCTTTAGCCAAACTTACCAAGAAGGAGGGAAGGAAAAAAACCCGTATCAGTATACTTAGAACTGAAAAAAAAGTAAAATCAAAGCATACACCACAGAAACCCAGACAGTTCTAACAAACTATATTGAAAACTTTTATTCCAGTTAACTATAGAACGTATAAGAAATGGAGAAATTCCTAGACATATGTGAATTACCAAACCTGAACCAAGAAGGTATAAAAACTCAAATAGACCAGTAGCAAGAAATGTAATTGAAGTACTGATGAGAGCCTAGCAAGTATGAAAAGTCCAGGGCCAAAACTATTAAGATTTTGGCCAGCCTACTTGGTGAACACAGATACAGAAATCCTCAAAAAGGTACTGGCAAATAGAGTGCAACAAAACACTAAAAATATCACACCATGACCAAGTTGGCTTTGTCCCACAGGTAAAAGGATGGTTCAACATATATAAATCAAAAACTCCAAATCATCACATAACAGAAGTAAAGATTAAAATCAAGACAAAGAAAAAGCCTTGATGTTGTTCAATATCCATTCATACTAAAACCCTGACAAAAATAGGTACAGAAGGATCTTATCTCAAACTGATGAAAGCTATTTATGAAAGAGCCACTGCCAACATCATACTAAATGGGGAGAAACTGAAAGCATTTCCTCTAAAATTAGGAACGAGATGAGGCTGTTGATTTTGACCACTGCTGTTCAGTATAATCCTGGAGAGTTCAGCCACAGCAAGGAAAAGAAATAAATGAAATTTGTAGAGGAAGGGAAGAAATCAGACTATCCTTAAAGCTGACGTGATCTTTGGCAGGATACACAAATCAGCAAAGAAAACTCAGTAGCATTCATGGACACCAACAAGGAACTCACGGAAGGAGACATCAGGAATACATTCTCATTCACAATAGTGCCACCCCCCTCCCCCCAGATAACACACACAGGAATTAACCAAAGGGAAAAACCTCTATAATGAAAACTGTAGTAGTAGTCTGAAGAAAAAGATTGAAGAGCACACCAAAAAATAGAAAGCCATCCACTGTTCTTTCTAGACAGCCAGAGTCAGTTTTGTCACAATGGCCATTTTACCAAAAATGAAACACAGATTTTATGTGATCTCAGGCAAAATACATTCTTCCTATAGAACTCAAAAAAAAAAAAAATCCTAAAATTTATATAGAAACAAAGAGTCCCAGAATAGCAAAAACAATCCTGAGCAACAAATCAGGAAGCATACAATACTGGATTTCAAGTTATATTACAAAACTACAGTAATAAAAACAGTGGGCTGGGTTCAGCGGCATAAGCACCTGCCTGGCAAACACAAGGTCCTGAGTTCAATCCCCACTACCACAAAAAAAAAAAAAGAATAAAAACAGCAGGGTATAAGCACAAAAACAGATGTGTACAGCCACGGAACTGAGTAGAGGGCATGGAAACAGCACTAGATACCTTCAGCCATCGGATCTTTAATAAAGGAACCAAAAATAAGCATTTTTCCCTATTGTGTGTCTGTTCACTCCTTTCTTTGCTGAGCAGAAGCCTTTAAATTTGAAATAATTGCACTTGTTGATTGGCGATGTTACTTCTTGAGCAGATAGTTGTTTGTAAAGTCCTTACATAGACGTGTGCATTCAAGAGTTTTACCTATTCTATTTTCCAGAAGAATGTTTCTATTTTAATATCTCGGTCTTCATTCCATTTTTATTTTAGTACAGGTTAAGAGACATGGGGCTATTTTCATTCTTCTGCATGTGGAAACCAGTTTCCCAACAATCATTTGTTAAAGAGGAAGTCTTTTCTCTGTGCTTCTTTTTGACCATTTGACCTGGCTGCACCTCTTGGTTATCTTCCCAGAGTTAAAGCCATCGTATCACAGTGACGTTTGCATACCTGGCTCTACAGCTGTGCAACTCATAATAGCTAGATCTTTGAAGCAGCCTGCCTGCCCATCTACACATGAATGGATACAGATGTGTATATATATATATATATATATATATATATGTATATATATATATATATATATATACAAGAGAGTACTACTCGGCCATGAAGAAGGATCAATTTGAGTCATTTTAGGAAAGTGGATGTACCTTGATAATATAAAATAAATATATTCTGAGCAAAATAAATGAAACACAGAAGGTTAAATATCACATGGACTTTCCTACGTGACAAACCCTACATATAATTTTTTGGGGTTTTTTTAGTCTTTTTTGAGATGGGATTTCACTATGCAGTTAAGGGTGGCCTTAATTCACTTTATAACCCAGGCTGGCCTTGAATTTGTGCTGATCCTGCTGCCCCAACCTCCAGAGTACTGGATTATAGTTGTGCACCACCATGCATGGCCTAAGTATAATTTAAAGAGCAAAATAAAAGAGATGATAGGAAACAGGGAAGACAGACTTTGGAGATGGCAAAGGGGGTTCTGGTTGTGTGTAAATAATCATTAACATGTAATTTTGCCCGTTTCATGGGAGTTACACACTGTGCAGCTCCAGGTTCCAGCTCTTTTGGTAGTATCGTCACAGAAGATGCAGCTCGAGCCTGTGGTATGCGAGCATGGTTGGAGTTCTCAGTGGAAATCCTCTGTTTGCAGAAAAACAAGCCTGTCAAGCAAGATTCCCTGTCATGGGGGTGGGTTTTTTTTTTTTTTTTTCCCTTGATTGAATTATTCTAGCTGTTGGTGTCCAGGAACACCACAGTGAACTCTGGATATTCTAAGGGCTTTCTATGGTTGTTAAAAAAAAGATGTACATAGAAAAAGGCATACTTGAGAAATGGGCAGGCAGTTTCCTTTTCCAGAGATCTGTGTCATACATCATTTCTATTATGGCTATTTCTGCCAGAGAAATGTGTTTCCACATGTCTTTGTCACTTTCTTGTCACTGGGACTCAATTCCTGATACCAGGAGTTGGAAGTTGGAGAGGCTCATTTTGGCTCCTGTTTCAGGAGGTCCTGTCTTTGGAGCATGGTGGAAGGGTGGGCAGCCAGGGAAGTGTTTCCACACCAGGTCGAGCCCTGGGGCCTGCCTCTTCCAGTGCTAGCCCTGTGATCTCACCTTCCCAAAGCCCTGTCTGAAAGCACAGAGCTCTTGGGGGATGCGTAAATATAAACTTTACCACTCCTTTTATATTAATCACTGAATCTGATACTGTGTGACTTCTGGCTGTTTCCCACAGTCAAAATGATCATAAAAGGTAAATGTTTTGAATTAATTCAGGACATTAAGGCAGCCAAGAGAGCACAACTAAAGACCGCGAGAGGATTTCTAGAACTGCTTCAAAGTGGCAAGAACAAGCATGTTTGAACCAGTGTTTTAAGAGTTAGTGACGATGTGCCTTTCACTGTATTAAATCTTTAAAAAAAATAAATATTCACCTATTTTTATTTGTAAGAATTTTGAGGGAAGTTATATGCAAGGTAGAATTTTGTATCCAACTATGCCGGAGAATGTGCATTTAAAATATATCATCACCCTGTTTCCAAAAGTGTATTTCCCATATCGTCTTTTAGGAAATTAAGACTTGGTGTTTCTTCAAAACTAGATAATGAAAGTGAAAGACCTGGGGTGCAGGAAGTGGGAGTTCTGCAAGGAACTGAGAAATGCCTGGGCCAGGATGCAGGAAAGCACTCAGCCTGGCAGTGGGCCTGCACTCCCTCTGGACTAAGCTGATCTGAAGCCAGGTGTATAAGCAGTGACAGCAAACATTCCCAGGGAGTATTAATCCTACTGGAAAGTCCTGGAGGTTTAATTCATAAGTACATAGAAAATAAGCAAATGAGAGCTGAGCAAGTTATTTTGGCTAGGAATACCTCTTTGAAAAAGAAACCACGGCATATTGTGCATCTCAACTGTCAGGAGAGTTTACATAGATCGTAGTTACAATGCAAGGCACTGGATGGATATACATTTGTAACAGGTGGAAGGAGGGTGTTTATACATATGTCAGAAAAGAGACCTATACCTTTATCTTTCATAGACGTCATCGTGTTTGAAACTAAGTGATAGGAAGTTGAACATGTTAATAAGAAAAGGAGGTAGCCAGGTGTGGCACAAGCCTGTAATCCCCAGCACTTAGGAAGCTGAAGCAGAAGGATCCTCATGAGCTTAAGGCTAACCTGGGTATGATAAGTTCAAGGCCAGCCAGAAGAATAGAATAAAACATTGGAAAATGTTGTCTTGGGAGAGTGAAAAATGAAGCAGGCATTTTTTCCCCCCACAAACACCATACGCTATGTGACGGTTTAAAATTATGTGAAGGTGTATATAATTCTATGAGTAGATATTAAACTGGAAATATGTGTAATTTTGATAAAAAGATAACTTTAATGTGTTAAATGGTGTCTTTTGGGGGGCCAGCAAACTAGCTCAGCAGTCTAAAGCGCCTGCTTAGGCAGGCTTAGGCAAACTGCAGGGATAGCAATTTGATCCCCGGCACCACATGCCGCACCAGTCCTGCCCCTAAGGATGGACTGAGCCCAGCCACAAAAAAAAAAAAAAGGTATTTTTGTTGTTGTTGTTGTTGTTTTGTGGCCAGCTCAGCCCTCTCTGGGGGTAGGGCTGGTGCAGCATATTGTACCAGGGATCAAACCGTGGCCCTTGCGCTTGCGTAAGTAGGCGCTTTAGACTACTGAGCTGTCTCGCCAGCCCAGTTAAAAGGTGTTGTGTAAAAAGAATTGAAACCAGGGAATATAGCTATAAGAATAGCAATAAAAATTTAAGAACTAATTATGGAAATTATTATCTAAAAATAGCAAAAGTACTATTAAGAAGTTCTTCAAACTCGATCAAGGGATTGGGCATTCACTTGTTTTTATTATTGAAGTTTCTGTACAGATAAATATCTCATTGAAATACAGGTATGTTATGGATATTTCGGAAATGCCTTTAAAATCTAATTTCATGTTTAAAGTCTCCCTGTGAACTTGCTTAAAAGAAACAAAGTAAATGTGATCTTCCAGGTTATTCTTGGAGAAATGCTTTCGAAGGAGTATCTACATTTTTTTTTCAGTGCAAAATAGCATGAAGATACAGAGAGTTTTATACCATAGTGATTTTGTTTAAGTATAATGATTTCTGCAATTCTCAGTAATTGTGACCTTTAAGGATCTTCATTGCTCTTAGTTACTGATTAAACCTTTTGTGACTAAGGTTTGTTAGATGAACTTTTAAAAAAATTACTGTTTTGTGCCTGTGTGTCATTATGTATATAGCTAGGTGCACCCTCATTTAGGGAATAGCTTTAATATCAGTAGTTTGTATATGACTTTATAAAGATAATCTAAGGAAAATAATAAGGCCTCTGAGAATAAATTTAAACTTCTGTGCTTAAGTGAAAATAAAATGTTTTCAACTTGTTTTACTAAAATCAAAAACAAAGGAGCTAAACTAAAAATACTGGGTCTTTTCATTTACATATTGTTTCCTCTGTATGTTAGCAGAGAAGGAAAAACAGCAGTGCTATAGAAGAAAATTAGGATGGGGAAAATTAAAGAGTCCTTGAGACAGAAAAGGAAAAAGATAACATTATGCTATCCATAAATTCAGAGGCCTGTGAAAACCAAGAGCACAATGGATGTACACAGGAGAAACTGTGCAGAGATCAGAGAATCGTCAGGGAGGAGTAGTCACGCACAAAACACTTTTACATGTTTATTTTTTAAATGGTGGGTGAAATGGTATTAATCAATGACATGTGGCTTGAACTTGACATTAGTCTGCAATTTCTCTTGATTTTATTCTCTATCTTTTGGCAATTTGGAAATTTTAAAATGAGTAACTTCAAGAAGTTTAGGTGTTTATCCCATAACTAGTTATTGTTTGAGTTACTAGTATTGTTGTAAAGAGGGAATTAAAAAAAGGTTAAAAACCACAAATAATTGAAAATATCCTTATATCATACGTGTGTCTATATATGCATATATGTGTATGTAGCTACGTGAAGTAGAACTCATTTTTAGTTTTCCTGAGTCAAGTTGTCCTAATTTCTTGGCCTTTATTTTGTATTTTTCTAAAGGTGGGAACAGAGAAAAGATCCTCATGGTAGAACCTACTATGTAGATCATAACACTCGAACCACCACCTGGGAGAGACCACAACCCTTGCCTCCGGGGTAATATAGTATCTTTTTATATCTTTAGTTGTACTTTTATCACACGTGTTTTTACCACGTGTGTGTTTGTGAAATCACACGTGTAATTAAAAATGTTATGTTTATTTAAGGCAGTATGCATAATAGGCTCTTCAGATAAAATTTAAGTGAATCCCCACTAAATTTTTGGACAGTACTTTTAAGGAAATAAACGCCATATAATAGTTATAAATGTATGGGTTAAATGAATGACCATAACATGGTAATCTGATCTATACTTAAAATGAACCTTATGCTTTGCTTATTGCAATATCAGGTCCGTATTTTTAGTAGGTTCTTAGTTAATAATGAGGACCAAGGCCCAAATACTTTACTTCATAAAAGGAACATATCTCATCAAAATCTAGAAGGATGGATACAATTGAGTTTCAAAGACAGTAAAAAATATATTCCAGGTATAGACAGAATGTGAGAGGAGTATAAGTGTTATAATTTGATCAGCTGTCAGTATGAGTGGTATAGTTACGATGGAATACAAAGATAAAGGAAGAGCATTTCGTAAGTGACCTTGAAATATAACCAAATAGCATGAACTTTATTATACAATAAAAATATTTTACTATTTTAAAACCTACTAATTTAGACATAAAATAAGTTGGCTTGACACCATCTTTGTAGATAATTGTCCTAACATTGAGCAGTTCTGATGTTTCTTTATAGAAAACTGGAGAAATATACATAGGAGTTACTTGAACTCACTGTATTTTTAGCTGCAAATTCACAGAATTTAAAATTAGTTGCCAAAAAGATTCAAAGATAGTTGTTATAGTTATAAATTAAAGCCAAAAAGCCCAATGGCAGCTGTGTGGGAAAAGTGAGAACTGACCTCAACTTTGAAACCCGAGTGCCATTGTGGTTGACGGAGAAATAGGGATGGACCCTGTGTTCTTCTGAAGTATTAAAGGAAAGGCCTGACAGGAAGATGCACCTGACATACTTGAAAACAATCAGTAGGTGTTCAGTTGTCATTTGGGGCCTTCGATCCATCTCAGGAAGATGACCCTAAAAAAGGGAGATGTGGTGGGTGGAATTACAGGGTTCCACGTGCGGTTCAGGAAGGTAACTCACAGGGGTACAACAGCAGGAGAAGGAATTGGTGTCTTGAAAATGGGCAGTAGTCAAGGAGCCCGTTTAAGCCCATCTGATAAGGATTTACTTAGCTAAATCCTTATCCAAAAAAAAAAAAGGAAGAAGGGTAGGGATGAAACAAATTGTGGAATCACTTGTCCCCTTGTAAAGTCAGTCTTTAGAAATCATGTTAGTGATAGAATGGTTATTAGCTAAAATACGCATTTTATAGTTCTATAGATTATTTGAATGCTAATATATTTTCAGTTTTTTATCATGTCTTGGACTGGTTTTTCAATTACTTGACTGAAATATTAGTTACCTTTAAGTTTCTTATTTTGAAAGAATATTGTTTAGTTCATTTTTATTATTGATTATTTTATTTGTGGTAGCTGGGAAAGAAGAGTTGATGATCGTGGAAGGGTTTATTATGTGGATCATAACACCAGAACAACAACGTGGCAGCGGCCTACCATGGAATCTGTTCGAAATTTTGAACAGTGGCAATCTCAGCGGAACCAGCTGCAGGGAGCTATGCAACAGTTCAACCAGCGATACCTCTATTCGGTAATTACAAGTTACTCGGTGATTACTCAGTAATTACTGATACACTTTGTTCCCTCAGGCGTTTTGTCCATTTCCACTTTGGTTATTTTCTAAAATCCATTTCAAGATATTTTTTAGTAATCTCTAATAATTTTTTTATAAAAACATTCTCAAAGATTTTTTCAGGTTTTGGAGAATTTTAGATTAGGAATATGGAAAGTATATGTATCATACAAGAAAATACGTACTGTGTAGATTTTTGTTTCTATATGACTTAACTGTGTTTAAAAAAAAATTTGCAAAACAGAAATTAAGAACTGGGTATGTTTTAGAATAATGCTGTTCTGCAGATAAAACTACTTTTAAAGGATTGAAGTTTAGTTACCTTAGAAGAAGAGCGAGTCTGGAGTTTAGGCCAGATACTGCCTTGGCGCAGCAGGGCCATCAGGTGCCCAGGTTCTTCCTGCCTCGGAGTTCCCCTGTCCTTATCGTGGGTCGTGCCTTTATTTTCAGCATACAGCGCTGTCGCTTTCTGAGCCTCACTTCTAGGGGCTAGTTCATTAAAACATGTAGAGGGCAATTGAGAAGAAAGGCAGCTTTGTCAGTGCTAATTATAATGCAATATGCATACATGAAAATTGCACAAGATACAAAATATTTTTGTAAAGTTGATTGTGAAATTTATTGGTTTTATTAATGAACATTTGTTTTGAAGTACATTATGATATGAAGTAAATAAGAGCTCCCCATTTAAATACTGTAAGTTGATCAGTTGCTTGAATGCTCTTACCTCGTAATATTTTTAGAACTTGGTATCTTGAAATTACTTTATATTTCATGATTTTTAAAAAATTTTAAGATTTAGCGCTGCCACGTGCTTAGCTTCTTTCGCTTTTTATATTAAAACACTTTTTTTTTTTTTCTCCTGTAATGCCTTCACCAATCAGGCTTCAATGTTAGCTGCAGAAAATGACCCATATGGTCCTTTGCCACCAGGCTGGGGTAAGTTAAGATTGTGTTGGTAAAAAAATTTGTAAAATGTATACTTGCACCGAATAGGTGTTAAATATTACATTCATTTTTATTTTTTAGAAAAAAGAGTGGATTCAACAGACAGGGTGTACTTTGTAAATCATAACACAAAAACAACTCAGTGGGAAGACCCAAGAACCCAAGGGTACGTACGTACTGCAGCCTTTGCTGAGACGTCCTCCCCATGTGCAGGTGGCTTCAGTGAGCCTGGGCTGCCTAGACAGCATTTACCTGTGAGTGTAACGTTTGTGTTTCAGTTTGCAGAATGAAGAACCCTTGCCAGAAGGCTGGGAAATTAGGTATACACGGGAAGGTGTTAGGTACTTTGTTGATCATAACACAAGAACGACAACATTCAAAGATCCTCGCAATGGGAAGTCATCTGTGTAAGTGAAAACCTGAAGTTCTTTTTAAATGCTGCTTTTGGCTCAGAACGTGGTATCGTAGTACACTTATGTTTACTTTTATTCCAGAATGGATTTGTGTATTATGATTCTTTAATTATATATAACATACAGTAGCAGTGGCAAACATATACATATAGTAATTACTGTGTGCTAAAGGTTGTTCTAAGTACCTTATATGTGCTAGCTCATTTTTTCTTCAATGAATGCCTTAAGTAGATACTGTTATCCTCTTTACAAAGTAAGGAAACAGGTATAGTGAACATACCTAACTGCTAAGGCATAAGGCAAGCAATAGAGGTAGTTCCTGGCTAAGACAGACCACCTCCAGCGTCTGTGCTCTTAGCTACCGCATCATAATGCTGCAACAACAGAAAGTAAGATTGAGCAAAACTGAATTTCCAATCAGATTCCTTAGGTTAAGCAGTTGACAAATCTCTCTTAATCCTTACTTTTAGGTATGATGTATTTATATCAATAAAAAAAAATCAGAGCAGTCACAAAAAGTCTTGCACATTCTGTATTCTTCTTGTTAACTCAGGAACACATCCAAAGTTCAGCTACATCTCATGACTTCCACTATCACCATTCTGGACCAAGCTATTACTGTCTCTCACCTGGTACCAGAGTCTACTGTCTGTTTGCTTTCTCTCGACACTTTATATAATGTTATGTGATTCTCTGTAGAGCATAGACTGGTTTTATAAAGAAATCTAAATGTCATTCCTTAACACAAACCTTTCAGTGGTTCCTCCCTCAAGCATGGTAAAAAACAGTCTTTACCATGGTCCCTAAAGTCACATATGATCAGCACCTGTTACCACTTCAGCTTTATCTCATTTTCCCTCTCTTATTCACTCTGTACTAACTGCATTGGTCACCTAACAGTGGCATGAGCATCTTAAACTTCCACATCTGAGTCTTGGCCTTCATTTTCTCTACTTGCTATGTGTTTTCTTTAAATATCTGTATGAATTATGCCCTCTTTGTCTTTGTTTCTATGCCCAAATGTTAAGTGTTCTATGAACCCCAGTATATTTATCCTTTTCACAATTGCAGAATTATTCTCCCCATACCACTTGTTAGCATTTGTGTTTTTAACAAAGCCATTTCTTACAAAGGAAGTGGTTAGACATCCCCTTCTGACCCACATCATATGTATAATTATACATTTATATGTACCGCTTGTGTTTGTTATTTGCCTCACTCACTGGTTGTGTAAGTTCCACAAGTAGGCATTTTTATCTCTTATTAGCAACTAATTCTTTCATTGTCTAGAAGAATTCCAGGTACCTGCTGTGTGTACAGTAAATATTTGTTTTTGAATGGGTTAATTTGAATCTTAACACCACAAGAGAACATTTCCCTTCCATTTAAAAATGTTCCCTGTGATTGGAAATTCTCTGTGCCCTTATGATAGGCTGTTGCTCAGGAGGCAAGACACTTGCCCTCTCTCTTTGACTTGAACCATAATGTAAAGTGTGTATTTGTAATGGCTCCCATTCGGGCTTTTCTCTCCCTGAGTCATGTGACTTGGGTGTCACTTGTTCCTAGGAATTTGATTTTGCTTTGCTTATTGTCTGAAACAGTATATATTTAGTTCAGATTAGTGTTAAGATACATTAATTTCCTTTCATGTCTCTTAGAGTGTCTGGTCTTGGATTTTTAGGATTATCAAAGGCTTTGAAATAGTCTACAGTAGCTTTTAGCATTTCAGGTAACAATTTAACAAACACCTAGCTTAGCTAATCATGCGGTCTCTCTCCCTGTGTGTTCCCTTGCTGTAATGTACCCTCCTGGCTCAAGTCTCTTGGCCCACTTACTATAACTCCATTCCTCTCCTGGCATATAACTTAATTTTCCTTGGCCATGTGTAGGACTCTGGTACACTCTGGTTTCATAGTCAATATTAAATAATCAAGTCATTATAAATTAATGTTTGTTTCTGTTTTTCTTTAGAACTAAGGGTGGTCCACAGATTGCTTATGAACGCAGCTTTAGGTGGAAACTTGCTCACTTCCGTTATTTGTGCCAGGTACTACAGTGGTAAATAAATCTTATCTTTATAATCATTTAGTCATATCTTTATGCTGTGTGTATACTGTGGCTTATGTATCATATATTTTTGTTTTTAGTCTAATGCACTACCCAGTCATGTAAAGATCAATGTGTCCCGGCAGACATTATTTGAAGATTCCTTCCAACAGGTAAGGAAGATTTTATCAAAATAAATACTACTATGCACTTTATTGTATGCTACACATCTAAAGGTAATTAGGGTTTTAGAAATTTTGAGAGTCATTCTGATTACCACATCTAGTGACCATTTTAATAATAGTTATATTAAACCTTACTGTGTGTTGAGTGTGTGTCCTTTGGTTGGCACCAGCATCTTAATTGTTTCATCCTCACCTCATCCCTTTGAGATACAGCTTCTGTCATTACCTGTTTAGATGGTGGTAGTGAGATGGAGAGAATCGTTCTGCCAAAGATTGAGGTATATACCTATGAAAGCTTAAAAAGCTCTTGGCACAAGTTGATCCATTTTAACACTACTTTTAACACAAAAGTCTCGATGGAACTAACAAAATTAAAATTGGTAGATACTTCATACTGCTTGACTGTTCCTGGAATGCTCATTCTTCTCTTTATGTCTTTTAAAAGCAACCTTGTCTGCACCTACTGGGTGTTCTTCCTGAGTCACCTGCAGAATGTTTAAAACCAGAATACTGTTCATTTTTTAATGGTTAAGTGGACAATTTTCCATATGATTTGTCTCTCCCCTCTAAAGTAGAAAAATAAGAGACCACACTTTTTGTGTACTCAGATACATAGGAGTTTATTCTTTGTACAGGCCAAAATGGAATACTAATGTTAAAATCCTTGCTTAATTTCACTAGCTGTTACACTTTGAATAAGGTAGTTAATATAACTATTACCAGAACTTTTTTGGAGGGAGGGATTATGTCAATGCATTTTTAGCAAAACAAGTGTTTCAGGTTTCCAAGCAACTTGTTTTAAGCTGTGTTTGAGTTGAGTTTTAGTAAGTGTATATCCAAATTCAAAGACTTGATTTTGCTTTTTACTGTCTTGGGAAGAAACATAATCTATTACTGAACACAGTGGTTGAGCCTATAACTGCCCCAGAGGGAGCCTTGTTGGTGCGCCATGCTGTGACCTGCACCTACCTGTTGGCTGAGGTTCTGACATGAGTGTGATGAAAGTAATTCATTTTTATTGAAAATAAAGCCTATTTATTGTAACTCTGATACTAGGCTGTTAAGGATTATGAAAATTTGGCATAGGTTTTATTTTATATCTTATCATGTCTACAAATAGTGTGATTAAGTGAATATAGATGAGTCTTTTTAAGAAACAGTTTGCCTCTTATGTTTGCTATCCAGAAAAATCTGCACTTTCCCTACTAAAAAGGTCTTGGTATAGTTTTTGAGAGTGAGAGGAAGAGAGTATTTTCTAACCTTAGGAGATTTCAGCGCAAAACTCTTCCTCCTACCACTACCCAAAGTAGAACTGTTCACTGCTGAGGGGAGGAGGAGGGGATGTGAAAATGAGGCAGAGGAGTGGCATATTGATATGTCTTTGTCTACTCTGGGGAACAAAGAAGTAGAGATCTTGAGTTAAAGGCACTTGTATGAGGTAAGAAAATGTGTAATTTTGAAAATACAGATTAAGTTAAATTATTTTGGAAGTAATTGGTGCTATATATGAGTGTTCAAATATTCATGTTTTTGTTTTAATTAGATTATGGCATTAAAACCCTATGACTTAAGAAGGCGATTATATGTAATATTTAGAGGAGAAGAAGGACTTGATTATGGTGGCCTAGCAAGGTAAAATTGACACATACCTATTTTGAAATAAATCTCAAATATGCAGTGGATAGTCTTGAAAAGATACTTGAATGTATTGTTTTTTTTTTTTTTTTAATAGTAATCAGGAGTACTTTTTAAAACCAAAATTTAAAATAGTTGCACAATTGTCAAGGTAGCCATTATTAGCTAGTTATCTTCCATACATATGTATAAATTATATATATAAGCTTTCTATTAAAAAGTTATATAATGCATAATGTACGAGAACTTGGTTTAGGGGCTAGTTTTATGAATCATTGTTAAGAGTGCTTGCTTAGTATGCCTGGGGTCCAGGGTTGATCCTGAGGATAAAAACAAAATAATTTTATTTTGTATATCATGGAGAGAGAAAGAGGAGGTTCATTTTTTTTCAAATAGCTGCATAGTATTCTACTCAGAGACACCATAATAAATAGATGAAAATAAGCTTATTTGTTATTATTCGCTATTGAAACATTGTATATACATTTTATGTTTTATCTAATCTGATTTTTTTCTGAGTAAAGTGTTTCACATTCACTGAATGTACTGCTAACAGATATTTGTGAAGCAATGGATGCAAAATCCTAGTAACTTATTTTTCCCTTACACAAACTAAAATAGGCAATGAGTTTTCATTTTGTTTTGTTTTATTTTTGGCTATGAATTCAATTCCTGATTTTTTGTTGTGTGTTTGTTTTGAGCTAGCATCTTACTGTATTGTCTACAGGCTGACCCTGCGCTCACTGTGTAGCCTAAGCTAGTCTTTGTGATCCTCCTGCTTCAGCTTTTCCAGGGCTGAGATTATAGGAATGTACCACCACATCACCTAGCTGCAACTTCTTGAATTCACAGAGTTCACTTAATGTACAGAATTACAGTATCTGTTTTAAGGGACAAAGAAAGATATACTGGACCAGGCACAGCTGGTAGGAGAAGATATATAATAATACATGTGGGATTACCACGAGTTTGCTTAAAAATATATTTTTCCATCTAAAACACTGCTAAGCTTTTTCAATAAATAAATACTATCTACCCCAATAAATGTTCATATCATATCTACTATGAATTTTTTTTCACTTCAAAAATGTTTAGCCTTCAGAAAGAAAGTTATACTTTAGAAGGGAGGAATTATGCTATTATGTGTCCATTGTCTGACTTTTTGACGTTCTCATTCTTGTTTGAACCTTTATCTATCTAAACTGGATCTGGTTTTATATTTCAACAGTTTTAGTATACATAGCAAGATCCTGTATATCATGAGTTTCTTATTCCTAAATTCTTTGATTCATGTTAATGGGCTAGACTTAGCATCAAATGGCTTATTCTAGAATTGATAGGAGTGATACATTGCTACAATCTTTGCATGCTTGAAAATGTCTTCTGTTGCATTTGTATAAAAATAACCTCACTAAATGTCAATTTCTTGCAAAGCACTTGTTTCTCCAGTGTTCTGTAGACGTTGCTTTACTGTTTTCTGTCCTTGAAGGTCAGTACTGTCAGCCCCTTGTAGGAAACTTTTCTCTAGGTTCACACACAGATCTTTTACTTGAAATTCATTAATTTCATTATTGATTGTTTTATATCTTTTAAGGAACATACTAAGATCTTTCATAATTTCAGAGAAATTTTCTATTGTATCTTTGAATATTTTTTCTGTTCCGTTTGTTTCATCTTTTCTTCAGGAACATCCACCATGGGTATGTGGCATCTCCCGTCAGTCATACGTGTCTGTCCCCTTTAATCACTTTTATCTTTGTCTTCTTCATTTTGTTTGAATTTTTCTCTAGCCTGTCCTTGTGTCACTTTTTGCTGTACTGCCCTACATTTTGCTGTTTCTAATGTGAATTTTCTTCATTAGTGGTTTTACTGTTTTCTTCATTTCTTCTCTAGGCTAGTTCATCTGTTGTGTCAATTTTTTCAATCTATTGTGTGTCTTCTTTTTATTTGAAAGTGTGGCGAATATGTTGAAAGTTAACTCTCCTGTCTCTTGCTAGTTAGGAATTTTTCCTTCTTTTCTTCTAGCATTAGGCAGAAGTTAGGTGATGTGACTAACCCATAGAATGGATTCACTCTCTCTGGGCTGTTGTGTGCGAAGCGTGGTGTGAAGCAACAGGAAAATTCTAGTGTTGGTGTGTGCAAACACCTTCTGACTAGCCCTGCTCAGTCCTGTTCCTGGACAGGCGTGTCTTCGACCTCATTATGGAGGGAAGTCACTGGGTTTAGCAGTATTGGGACTTCTAGGAGTTGGTGTTTATCATTGCTTAGTTGGTTATGTTTAGGAACTTCCTTCTCTACGGGTTCAAGAATTACGTTTTCAAAAGCCCGAGAAAGTAGCCTCTGTAGGCCAGGTGAACATGCCTGAAGGTGGCCTGTTCTTGAAATGTTTTAGATTACTTGATAATAATACCCAAAAACAAAACAAAACAAAATCGAAAGATTCTGTAAAAGCTTGCCAGCCTGAAGCCTGTAATTCCAGCTCTCAGGAGCTGATACAATTTCTACTTTTTCTTTAGATACCCTAGATGCACTTTCTCACTCTCTTACTTATATCAGTTGGCTGAGTCCTAGTAGCTTTTTCCCTTGTAGGGTAGCATACACTCTATTTTGTTATAGTGTGCACCGCTACCCATTTGGCTTAAGGACTAGGTAATATGTCTGGAAATTTCTTCCTTGAAGCCAGGGATTATGGCTAAGCAGAGAATTTGAAATCATATGTACTTATTGACCACCATGAGCATTTGAGTTTGGAATTATGCTTATCTAGTTAGTTGTATTTTATCTATTAGTCTTTTAAAAATGAGACATTTAAAGATTTCACCTGTCTACTGTTAGTATTGTTTTTAATGCATTCACAGTAGAATTAAATCTGTTCCATAGCAGCAGTGTTGTGTACCTCAGTATCTCCAGGAAATACGTATTAAAATCTGTTGTAGAGGCTGGGGTGACAGCTCAGGGGCAGAGCCCTTGCCTAGCCCGCATGGGGCTCTATGTCTAGCACCGCCCACAAACAGAACGAAACTCAAGAAAATGATTTTTGTATACACCCTAGAGTTCTGTGAGAGTTACAAATACACAAAGTACATTAGATGAGGCTTTTCCTGCTGAAATACTTACAGCCTTGTAGATGGGACAGGCCATCTGCATTAGAGTGAGTAGTATTCAGGGATGTTACTACGAGTGTTCAGTGGCTGGCACAGGTAGCACCCTGAGAAAAGCTTCAGAAGTTACTTGAAGTGGATTTAAACTGGACTGAGAAAAAGTGGGATGTAGTTACATTGAAGAAACATAGCCAGATAAACCTGTAGAATAGAAATGAGCATGTCCAGGTGAGAAATGGTGAGTGTATAGGTTTGTGATGCAGGAGTTCATGGGCAGCTTTTGCCTGGCAGCTAGATCACAGAACTTCAGTGGAGGGCTGAGGAGCTGGGCAGTGAAACTAAGGGTTACTGAGCATGAGTGTACAAAGAGGTGTTTAAGACTTGTTTTAAATGTATGTATATATGGATGCTGAAAAATAATCTTATTTTCTCATAGAGAATGGTTTTTCTTACTCTCACATGAAGTTTTGAACCCAATGTATTGCTTATTTGAGTATGCGGGCAAAAACAACTATTGTCTACAGATTAATCCAGCATCAACCATTAATCCAGACCATCTTTCATACTTCTGTTTCATCGGTCGCTTTATTGCAATGGTGAGTTCCAAGCTGTCATTTTATTTAACCTTTGTGTATTTCTGAAGTATTACATGAGGATTTTAAGGAAAAAAGAGATAAACATTCAATTTGTTATTCACAAATTTGGTCTTCAGAATTTATCTAGGAAGAAATGACCATTATATAAAAATCTTTTGAATGCCTGTATGAAATCAACAAAGATTATTTATAATAACTTAGTCTTTGTTTTTTTATAAAAGTAAAGCTGTATCATATTAGAAGTACTTTCTAAACTGAAAATCGGTTATCTAGTAAGTATACTTTATTGGTGATTTTTGGAATTTTCAGAACTTTACCGAAGCTTTTATAAAATTACTTGCCTTAGGGGACTGTTTGCGCTTATTGCACTGTCTGATCAATTCATTCAGCAGATATCAATTTGCTGTAATGCAAAACACGGTTCTAAGCTCTGGAGAAGAAAAAAACCTGTAGTCACTACTCTTATCTAAAATCTGTAAGAGGGAGAGAAGTAATAAGAGGACACTGAGAGAAAAGGTAGCTGTTCTTTCATATAATGTGGTAAAGGAAGCTTCTGATGTATGGTACATGAATGGAAATTTGGAAGAAGCTAGAGATTTATCATGAAGATACTTTTGAGGACAGTGTAGGTACAGGAAACAGCAAGGAAGAGAAAGAGACCTCTGTGGCTGAAGCAGGGTATACGAGAAAGAATGTAGTAGAAGATAAGACTGAGAAATACTCTGGGATTCTAAGGACAGTCACATTCAGGTTTTTAAGTAGGGCATTGAGTAACTTGAACTAAGTAACATGACCTAACGTATTTTTTGTTAGATCTCTTTTATTGCTGTGTAGAAAAGATACTGTGGTGAATAGAAGTGGGGGCAGAAAAGGTAGAAATAGGAAGATCAAGCAGAAAGATGATACAGCTTAGATTTGTATGGTGCAGTGAACATTAGAACTGAATTGATCATCTGCTAGTTAGCTGCAAACTGTGAGAGAAAGTGCGTGTGGCACCAGAATTTATGGCCTGTGTGTCTGGTTGCAGTTGCCATTTATTGAAATGATCAGGATCATAGCAAGAACAAATTTGGGGGATAGGGGAAATCAAGAATTTAGATTTGAGTTGCCTTGTTTGGAATGCCTGTATGGCTCCATCTAGTGGGGTAGAATAAACAGGAAACTAGATAGTTAAGCTTGTCCTTGAGGAGATGTGTAGGTTAGCAAAAGACACTCAACAGTTCTAAGCATTTGAGAATATTAAAAGGCTGTGATTGTTGAAAGTGTTAAGTGTGCACAGACAAAGGTGCAGAGACGTCGTTGGTAAAATAAGGAAACAGTGAAAGAGCTGAAGTAGGAAAACCAAGTAAGTCTTGGTTTCCTAAAGCGCAGGGAGGAAGGAGTGTGTGTCACAAGAAAGCATGACCTACTGTGTGCCATGTGGGCTGAGCATGGTAATTACTTGATTCCCAAGAGGAGGCCTTGCAATCACTCAGTTTGACAAGATGAGAGATACTCAAGAATGGAAGGATGGAAACATTGACACAAGGGAAATGAAGAAAGAATGGGACAAACCTTTTAGAGAAGTTTATCATAAAGGACCACAGAGAATTAGGCAGTAAGTAGAAATGAAAATGGAGTCAGGAATGGCAAGAGAATGCCAAGCTTGATGGCATGCCCTTATAATCCCAGCTACTCACAAGGCTAAGGCAGGAGAGTGCAGGTTCAAGGCCAACTTAATGAGACCTTCTCTAAAGATAAAGTAAAAAAGGCTCCATGCCCAGCATGCATGAAGCCCCAGATTTAATCTCCACCATCACTAATCCAGAGGAGAAGATTGTATTGCCAATAGTGATGATCATGTTAAGAAATAATTTTTTTGGTGATAATTAGGGCTCTAACTTAGGGTCTTTAAGCTGTATCATAGCACTTTTATTATTTTTTTAATTATTTTTATTTTGAGACAGAGTCTTCTTGAGTTGCCCAGACTGTGCTCGAACTTGCAGGCCTCTTGCTTTAGCCTTCCATTGAACTGAGATTGTAGGCATGTGCCACCATACCAAGCTTGAGGGTAATGAATTTGGCAAATAATATTAATGTATAAAAAAGAATATTATGCAATACCAGAAATACAGGAACAGTGATTTTTTTTTTTTTTTTTTTTTTTTTTTTTTTTTTTTACCAGGGATTGAACTCAGAATGTTGTACTTGACAGCCAGGAGCTTATGTCACTGAGCCATATTCCCAGCCCCGGGAACAATGATCTTGAGGAGGGCGAGAAAGAAATTTATTAGGGTACATAGATAAGAAAAAGTTTATTCATAATAAGCATGTGTAAACTCAGGTGCTAATAATGATCAGATTTGGTGGAATATACAAAAGTTGTCTTCTGATTGCTATCTCCTCTTTGAAACTGGAAGGAAGATCATCAGCTCAGTGAGGAGGAGGGCAAAGGAGGCATTTGAGGAAAGAGGAGTAGAGACTAGGAGAGATTATCAGGCAACTCTGAATTACAGTAGGTTGTTCATCATGAAATACTGGCTGGGCCAGGTATGTAGTTAAGCAGCATAGTACCTGCCTGGCAAAGGCAAGGACTTTTTTTTTTTTTTCCAGTACCAGGGATTGAACTTGCACTTGCCAGGCAGGCACTGATGCCACTGAGCTATCTCCCCAGCACCCTACAAAGTTCTGAGTTTGAGTCCCAGTACCAAAAAAAAAAAAAAAAAAAAGGCAAAAAGAAGCACTTAGCTGGTATATACATTTCTAGCTTGTTTACATTGAGAGTTGAGTCTAGGTAGGCTTGGGATTTTGACAGCGGGGAGACAAGGTTTGAAGATATCAGGCGGGGTAATTTTGATGATTGGTGACAGAATCTGAACTGAGTGAAGAGGAAAACCATGTTGTGAGTGGGCTAATAGATGATAGAGACTGCTGAGAGCCAGTGCTTCTGTGTTGGCTTTTGTGAATAGGAGAGATGGCATAGTCATCCTGAAAATCATCTAGCTATCTGTGAAAATAAAGAAGTGGGAGGAAGTCTTCCCAGGTGCATGGGCCTTTTCACTTCTGCATCCATCTAGGTTAATTTATAAAACATATTAGAGGAGTGGGGTCGCTAATGAAGTCTTTTATTTTCCTACTTACACTGTTAGAATAGAACAGTATAGAGCTAATGTTTGAATTGTAGATTTTGAACTCTAATATCTTTTCATAATTAGCATCTGATATGTTTACATTTTCATGGTTTATGCCATTCATTTACTTACTAATTGCCTTTGTCTATAAAGGGTGAGGATTTCTCTCTTATCATTATACTCTAAATAAGAAATTATTATCAGCCTGAACTACATAGAAAGAACTTGTCTCAAAAAATATTAAATAAGTTACATGAAAAAAAAAAAAAAAGACAAGAATATAAATAGGTGTTTTCCAAAAAATACAAGGAGGAAAAAGAAAGAGACTGGACATGGTGGCACATTCCTGTAATCTCAGCACTCAGGAGGTTGAGGCAGGAGGATCATTGCAAGTTCAAGACCAGCCTAGGCTACAAAGTGAGCTCAAGGCCAGCCCGAACTGAATAGTGAGACCCTGTTTCAAAAAGACCAAAAAAA